GTGAATAGTCATCGGTGTACTGCTTAACTACTGAATGGATCTATAAGGACTAGGAATCATCGTGAGACTAGACGACGCCTATTCGTAGTCACGGCATACGCATCCACAGACTGTAGTTCGGATGATGCAAAGGATGAATTCTATGAGAAGCTGTCAACTATGCTACAGAAAACCACACGTTCAGATGTAGCCATAATGACAGGTGACCTAAACGCTCAAGTGGGTAAAGTAAGCCAGTCGAAAAGGCACCTTGGGGTATTTACGGAATCCCATGCCAATGAACTGGCAACGTGATCGTGTTGTGCACTTCTGTTCTGACAATCGCCTGTTTCTGATCAGCACAAACTTTAGGCATGAGGAGAGACAGTCTCACATGTCGTCTACCGACTTCAAACCAACGATTGTTACGGATACACAGACTTTTCTGCTATAAGCCATCATTTGAGGGTGTCGGCAGACGACTGTTTGTCTTTCCGGAATATCTGTGTGTGAACTCCGATCACACGCTAATACCGGGACACATATGTTTGCGACGTAGGAAAAGGAGGTAGCGAGGCCTATCTGTCCTCGATTGGTTGATGAGGAGGTCAAGTGTGAATTTAGAGAGGAGTTACCTAGACATTTATCCGAATGTGACAGCAATGCTCATGCTGAGGAAATCTGGTGTGATATTAAGTCTGTTGTAGAAACAGGGACAAAGACAATTGGTAACGCGGATAGATCATATTGCTACAAGCCATCGTTGGGGAGAGCCGGTGGAGGATTGACACTTACTAGAGTGCCTGCTTGGATTCCGATCACACGTGTGTGTATGTCTGAGTCTTACTGGTTACAGGGAATAAGCGATGGTGAAGCCCGTCTATTTTCGATTGGAAGATGAGAACGTCAAGTACGTACTTAGGGAGGAGATAGCTAAGGATTTATCTGAACTTGACAGCGATCAGCATTCTGAGGAAAGTTAGCGAGATATTCACTCTGGTGTAAAAACAGTGGTAAAGATAGTTGGTAACCCACACCTAAAGGTTAGCAAACGTCGCTGGGTTTCTGTAACCTCATCCGAAATTATAGATGAGGGAAGACTCATTGCAGTTGACTCTAACCACAAAGAAGAGCGAAACGAACTTAAACATCAACAGACCAAAGCCTTCATGTCGATCGAAAGCATCAGGAATAAGTAACACTCGGCGATTATTTAGGCTCATTAAGGATACTGGCAAGAACATGATGGTGAGACCATCACTGAAAAGGATGGGTCACTGATAACCCTTCAAGACAGATGGCTATAAAATTGGGCGGAATACTCTGAAGTACAGTTCAACTAACCCACAACAACGCTTCAGTTACCCAGCATTCAGCGCGAACCTGAGTGGGACGATATCGGTGACCCAACCGTCCTCGCAGTTGAAAAGGCTATTTCAAACAAGAAACGATGCAGAGCAGCAAGATCTGAGGGTTAGGAAGAGAAGTATTGAATTGCTGGCTAGAGTAACGAAGGTGTTAGTTAGTGACTGGGAATCAGAGGTAGTCCCGTCAGACTGGTCTACTTCATAGATCATCTCAGTGTATAAGGAGAGAAATCTTGTGTTAACCATAGGGGAATCAGTTTAACAAACACGTTGTGCAAGAGCCTGGAGTCCATGGTTATCCAACGTTTACCTGGAGCTCAGGAATACCAAAAATCGGGAGAAAAAGGTAGGTTTCAGAAGTGGACGAGGGTGCATCAACTAGATTTTCACTCTTCGACATGTTCTGAAACACAGACATATATACCAGTGGCTAAAATACCATATTTCCTGACTGAAGGTGGCATTTTATTCTGTCAACCATGAGGTGTTGTGGCAGTGTCTGACTGTGAAGGGAATACCGAATAAGTATATAACGCTAACCAAAACTCTCTTCTCGAACTCACGGAGAGTTGTCATCTGAACTAAACCTAGATTGAGGATAGGGGGTGAAATGGTGGAATGGTTCGAACACTTCACTTGGGAAGCTGCATCAGCCCAAACGAGCTGGTTGATGACCAAATCTCAGCTTGGATACAGAAGTTCCGTTTGACATTTGCCAACTTGTGTCATTTCTGGCGCCGACTAGTGAGATATCTGACTACCTATTAAAGGACAAATATACTGTACTGCATTTCGTTCCCTCCTGTTATCCGGCTGTGAGACATGGTCGTTAAAAGTAGATATTAAGAGACCACAGGTTTTCGCTTATAGATGTCTTCCTAGGATTGTTCGCATGTGGTGGAATCACTATGTGAGCAATGCATAGGTTAGGCGAAAGGGACTAGGCAAGGAAGGCAAGTCATACGATGGGGTTGTGAACCTTCAGAGACTGAGGTGGCTTGACCATGTGCTGTGCATGCCAAGCTATCACCTATCTGCATGTGCGATGCCAGAAGTTGGATTAGGTTGGAAGAAGGGTCAGGATGGCAAGAATAATATGTGGCACCAACCCATGAATTCTCTGACTGTTGGTCTGAGCCATAGAGGGAGGTCTAGATTGCCTGGACGGCGTACCTGAGACAATAGGAATCAGTGGTTGCAAACTGTTGACGACATGGTTCAAATCGGTCACAATGGCGCGACAGTATTCACTCTTTGACGTGTTCTAAAGCTTGAACATTTGCACTAACCTTTATCTGAAAATTGTTGATTCCTTCACACAATTCTGTTTGCTTTGATATCAGTCCTTTTCATTCTAATTGTCTTTGCATGCTGCTGGAAATTGTAGCAACTTGAACCAGTGCAATTATGTGCGAGGTTTTATGTTGATTTCATCTATCTGTCTGATATTGATGATGATGCACGTAACAAAGCTTGACGTGTTTGACAAAGGGTGCAGGCAGTAAAAGCTTCAATATATTGCCTGAAGAGCGATGTCGGCAGACTAGGGATGCTATTTCGTGATGCCGAATCTTTATGGTGACCTGCAGAGCTAGAAGAAATCAATGATAAAGTAGTAATATTGGCCAAGACACATGAGGGAGGATAAACAGGTGAACATGTTGAAGGTTAATCGTGATCTGAAGGAACTTGAGTGCTGATATAGCTGTGAGGGCAGTTGACACTTCTCGGCTGTTCACACCCTGGAAGGCTATTTTGTCTTTAGGTAACTGGAAAAGAATTTGGCTTAGTAGTAGTTGTGCGCAACTTGAAGATCTACAGGCGAAAACCAACAAGTTGGCAGAAGAGGTAGGGCAGCGAAGACGGGACTTCAAGTGAATATAAAGAAGACAGAGGTGATGGAGATACCCAACCAACAACTCCAACAACAACAACAAGCTCCAATCACCATCAACAGGAGAAACTTAAAGGAAGTAACCTCCTTCACCTATCTAGGAAGCACTGTTTCAACTACTGGTGGCACAGACGAGGACGTCAAAGTCAGAATCGGAAAAGCAAGACAGGCGTTCATTAGCCTGAAACCAGTGTGGAGATCTACACTCAGCATGTGGAACAAGATCCGGATTTTCAGCACCAACGTCAAGTCAGGGCTTCTGTATGGTTCAGAGAATTGGAGCGTTATGAAAGGGATTTCCAATAAACTACAGACATTCATCAATAACTGCCTACTCTGGCTCGTTACTGAAGATCAGATGGCCAGAAAGAATAAGCAACGAGGAACTCTGGCCTACCAACGAACCAACCAAGAACCCATCGCTCAACAAATATGCAGAAGGAAGTGGAGATGGATTGGGCATGCACTGAGAAGGCCGACTGGGGACATCACGCGTCAGGCCCTCGAGTGGAATCCCCATGGGAAGCGACGAGTTGGGCGTCCCAGCTGAGAGTGACATGAAGGAGATCGTGCGAGGGGGAAACGAGAGCTTCTGGGCTGTCGTGGAGCCAGGTTTGAAAGATTTCAGAGAACAGAGTTCACTGGAGACGTGCCATTGAAACCCTATGTTCCATTAGGAACCCAAGGGACTAATAATAATAATAATCCTAACTTTAATAAGGTTAGAGACCAAAGGGAAGGTTAACGACTAGATTGAGGACTTCATTTACCGAGCAAGACAAAGAGGTTTGACGGGTGTTTTCTCCTGAAATGTAGTTGAGAGTGGTATGACTTGAAATGCGTTATCTCTTGTTCTCGAATCATTTATTCTTACGTTTTGGGATGCTGTTAAATCTTAGAGAATCGTATAAAGACGGGTTGCTGCGAATGTTCTGCTGGAGTGAGAATAGAAATAATAATAATAATAATAATAATAATAATAATAATAATAATAGTTGTGTGTGACCACAGAACTCAACGGACACTTGTTGAAGTCGGTTACACATGTCTTTTGTGGAACTTCAAGGTTTAACTCTGACTGAATTAAATGCAGATAGAAGACTCACACTACCTGCACCGGAATACCGGTTGGCAGACGAGTTCTCCTTTTGCAACCGCTGCGTTTTTAACTCTGTTTCCCATAGGGAAATTAGCATCAACACCATTACTGGTCATCCACGCAGAACGCCTTGCTGCTGTCACAGTGTCCAGTCAGGAGTACGACGTCTCTCTCAGGTCGCCATCATAACATAGCAATTTTTACTACCACAGTGACTGCCTTTTGTCATACTATATCCAACAGACCTTTAGGACATGTCAGGACATTAAGGAATAAATATTCTCATCAGAATAGCTCGTGGGGTCAATGTAGTATGCAAGTCTGACCAGGGTAGCAGCTATCGACCGCAAATCCAGGGTCATAAAGTCTTACACCTGGTGGGAGTTCCTCTTCTAAGAAGGCGCAATACTACCGGCAAATCCTGTATGAAGTGAATAAAATATCCAAGAAAATAGTTGGTATTGCTCGAATATGGTGACTACTATTCACAGTTTGTAAACGACAGTCAGGAAAGATAGCTTGTGATGTATGCACGGGAACAACTGGATCTCACAGATGTACAGGTTTTCGTTTTAGCCTTCTTCAGTAAAATGAATATGAACGGATTTGATTACGATTTCAAATAAAGAACAAGCAGTTATCAAGCCACCAAACAACTTACCATGCTTATTATCTAACAGTTCCAATTTTACTAAAACATCGTTGCGCATTTTAGCAAATCGCGTACGTGCATCTTGCCGACATCGCAGCACAAGTCTATACTCATAATTTCCAGACTCCACACGATACAGTGGTTCCTGAACCATAGCAAACCCATATTCTTCATCGTCCATCTCCTTCACTTTGAGACAATACGACTAAAAGAACATGTAGGAGTGAAAAAAAGAAACATTACTGTTATGGAGCTTCCGGAAATGATGAATATGTATATATAGTTAAGAAATGCATGCCATTATTTCGTAGTGTGAACAGTTGACTTTTAAATGGTTTATAGTTTCATTACACTAATTTCAGCACAACGCGGTCATTCATCAACAGCTGTCTACGCCCACTCGATACTGAAGATCAGATGGCCAGAAAGAATAAGCAACGAGGAACTCTGGCCTACCAACGAACCAACCAAGAACCTGTCGCCCAACAAATATGCAGAAGAAAGTGGAGATAGATTGGGCATACACTGTGAAGGCCGACTGGGGACATCACGCGTCAGGCCCTCGAGTGGAATCCCCATGGGAAACGACTAGTTGGGCGTCCGAATAGGACATGGAGGAGATCATGTGAGGAAGAAATAAAAGCTTGCGGGCAGTCGTGGCGCCAGGTTCAAAAGACTACAGAGGACAGAGTGAAATGGCGACGTGCTACTGAAGCCCTATGTTTCACTAGGAACCTAAGGGAAAAATAAAAATAATTTCAGCACATTTAACAGTTCTACCGGAATTGTTGTCTGTCCAAAATGATCATTAATTATAAGTAATACACCATAGAAAGTGTGATTTGTATGAGGCTATATATGAAGTTATAAACTGATCTACTTTGAACAAATAGATTGTCATATATCCATAAATTTCTATTTAGGGTTTAAGTCATACATCTGCAGATCATTACTTCAATTGCCCATAATCCATGTGAATGGAAGATTTCAGCGAACAAATTTGGTTGAGGTAAAAGCGTTCTCAGATATGTATAGTCTTATTTTAAATATAAAGTCTGCGCAATTAATAGTAAAAAACATAACAATGATTTTCAAAACGATCGTTCTTAGCAATTTGTGATCAGTAAAAAAAATATGGGATGCAGAAAACATTAAGATATTTGATATTGTGGATAAAGAAGTGTGAATTGAAATCAAGAAGTGAAGAATGCATAATAAAGTGAGTAAACAGTACAGAATATTGGTTCACATCTTGTACTGCTACAGAGTCAGCAATGCACAGTAAAAGCTTCCTCAAGCCCATTGGAAGATCGTGTTGTAATTATGTAAACTACGTTAAATGAATCTTCCAAAACTGTCTGATCAATCTGCATTGAGTTTTACTGAACCAGGCTGGGAGGTATTTGTGTCGACAATGGACAATATGTCTCTGCATTCGGCTTATTTATCTAGCTCTACACGAAAAAGGGAATTAATATATGCACGAGTCAGCTCCCAAGTGGGTGGGAATTCTGCAGAGAAGCATACACTTTACCACACTTGTGTGCGGGGTTCTACGTTGATTTTGTCAGTCAGTCAATCACTGACAATTCTCATAAAAGACTTCAGAAGTAAATATCACGTCCTATTCTCGTCACTGTAAGGTTCTTTCCACACTTCAACACACTCTAACAGGCATAAAACAAGTCAGTGAAAGTAAACGAGTTCAGCAAGTGACTTACCTAACTGGCCTATAACTCTATGGTAAACACTAGTACTGACTCATTCAATGGTTCCGTAAAACAAGTGAAATGCTTCCAAAGTGATGGTTATTGAATACTTGCAGATTTTACTCATCCTCCGCTTTCAGGGATAATTCTCTCACTTACATATTAGGCCACCGCTCACCGTTTCGCAATATACATACGCAAACAATAAACGTCCAGAAAACTTATGCCGAAAGTGGTCCATTTAGAGAAAACCAACCGGACCTTTTGTACCTTTGTAAACATTCTCTAATCCCACAAACAATCACGGCTTATGCATATACTCAGGCTAGTGAAAGTCAATCCTTCGCGTATTTTAAAACACAACATAAATGTGATAGGACAGTCAAAATAAGATTAGTATTCACCTGAGATAATTCCTTAGTCAATGACTTTCAGTAATTCGAAAAATAGTTCTCATCATGTTTATTATCGTATCACACATACTTTATTTACGTTTCAAATCCACTAGAAAACAACAAGTTGTTAGCTAATCGTTCACTCTTATCAACTTCACTTCAGTTAGAGAGTTTTTATCGAGTAGTTAGTCATATGTAGGGAGCAGTTATCAATCGGCTATGTTAAAACAACAAAACATAAATCAACCAATAGCTATTCCCATAATTTTTTTTAACGTTGGAAAACTAGTAACTGGTGAGGATGATAAGTATAATTCGATGGGTTAATCTTAGTCCTTTGGTACAGGCATGTAGAAATAATGGAAAGAGGAGGAAACACTCATAACAATTTTACAAGTGAAATGATGCACATTGAACAGACAGGAACAAATAGGAACTTCACTTACTAAATATTCAAATTTGACGTCTAAATACTTTTTAATTGTTAGTTTTGTATCAGGAACAGCTTTGCGTAGAAATGTGTTCAAGTCTGTAATCATCTATAATGTAGGACACAAAAAAACCCAGATATACATCCTGTTGAAAAAATTGAGGGTAACATTAGTTTAAAACAGTAATGAATTGCATAAACTGGTCAGATTGGCCGTATTGTGATTTCTGTAGAAAAAACGATTTAAAAATAGAGATGAGAATGAATGGATTTCCAGAAATATCGGTCACACTTATTCATAGGAATTATATCATAGACGAACTTTAATCGTTCAGGTTCACGAATGCGACACGCTCGATTATTCAAATTTCGTTTCTGAGGCCTGTTCATCGCAAAAACAAAAAAAAATAGATATGATTCGAAGTGCAGAACATATGTCTGCACAATACTTCATACTGAAGTTAGTGCTGATGATCTCGTCTAGCAAGATGAGGAAAGCTCCACAACAAAACAACCCAGCTCATAGAACACAATAAAACCAAGAAACTAGTTCATTTGTTTTATACTGGGCAAAACTACACATGTGCTTAAGCGATCGTAATTTCCATAACACATTCAAAAGTAAAGTGGTAGTTGGGGTAAATCACTCAGAGGACTGCAAAGTTTCTCTTGACTTGGTGTTAGTAAGGCTTAGAAACTAATCGGAATCCACGTATAGTTTTTAAATATTAGCAACTGATAATGTGTAAGGATTCTGTAGAGCATAGCATTTCTATCAACAAATTGGCATGGTGTTTCATGTACGTTTGTCATTAATCTAGTAAATATAATATAACTAGTGAAACAGAGATTTTTAAACCCTAAGAACTGTTTGTGCATTAGAAACTTTGTGATTTGGTCAACTCCTCTGAATTACAACTGCCGAAAACCTGAAACAGTGAAAATTAGACAATTCAGAAACAGTTAACCCTTATTCCATTATATTTCGCAGTCCGTTAAGCATCAGACTTGATGGTACCTTTATAGTAATTAAATATCTTTCAATACACACAGGTTTTAAGAATATCTATCTGCACCTGCATAGTACAAAATCGAAGTTACCATGGAAAAATCACATGAAGTAAACAAAACTAAAACTGCTGGAGATAAAAAGTAGGCAACCTCTTTTGCTATGCAGGTCGATAGCTGGAACGTTGACGCAGTTGTCGGACGTGGATATCACGATGACAAAACGGGCTATGTTGGTGAAACGCTTGTTCCCTCGAGGTCCTATAATCCTAGAAATGTCTGTTGGATAGTGGTAATACGAAAAGCAGTTAGTTGTAGTGTAAATTGCTTTACCATGATGGGGTTACGACGGCAAAGTCGTACTGACGCTAGTTGGATGGGGTGTGACAGCAGTAAGGCGTTCCCCTTAGATCCTGCATTCCTGAAGTAAGGGGGTGAGAAAGACAGACCCTTAAAACAACACACTCCCCTCTGCTCCATGCTCTCCCAAAAGCGGAGGTATGGATCCCCTCAAGCTGACGTTAGAACAACCAAACCTCAAAACAACATCTCGCAAAAGGTTGTGTATGACAGGCCTCAAGCCAATATTCAATGGGCTCTGTGGTCACACAAATCTTCTTCTCTTTCAGGTATCTTAAGAAGAAATAGCATTCCACGGTGTGCGCAGCCAAGAAGTATCAAGCGCCTGCGCGCTTCCAAAAGTATACAAGACTCAATCAAAAATAACCTATCCTCATTTGCCTTCCCCAACCTCTCACTCTGAGACCATTGCCAACCATCAAAGTCATCGAGATACCATTCCCAGTCTGTCTCCTAAGACACTACCATCCATTTCATGTAGGCGCTTTCAACCTCCCAACTCTACGCCAAATCAAACAGCAAGCATCGATCGCTAAGAAATCTGGAATTTCGAACTATGGATGTAGTCCGTGTCTCTGAGACATGTATACAGGACCTCAGAGTGGTTATCGAATTGACCTCACCTAGCCATAAAGAGAGAATCTTTGAAATTCACCTCACGAGTATCCGGAGATCCAATGGTTAGCTTTCGTCGACTCGATGGTGTAGGCATAGCATTGAGTTGTAGAGCAAGACGTAGGCTTCTCAACTGGATATCAGTGAATAGTCATCGGTGTACTGCTTAACTACTGAATGGATCTATAAGGACTAGGAATCATCGTGAGACTAGACGACGCCTATTCGTAGTCACGGCATACGCATCCACAGACTGTAGTTCGGATGATGCAAAGGATGAATTCTATGAGAAGCTGTCAACTATGCTACAGAAAACCACACGTTCAGATGTAGCCATAATGACAGGTGACCTAAACGCTCAAGTGGGTAAAGTAAGCCAGTCGAAAAGGCACCTTGGGGTATTTACGGAATCCCATGCCAATGAACTGGCAACGGTGATCGTGTTGTGCACTTCTGTTCTGACAATCGCCTGTTTCTGATCAGCACAAACTTTAGGCATGAGGAGAGACAGTCTCACATGTCGTCTACCGACTTCAAACCAACGATTGTTACGGATACACAGACTTTTCTGCTATAAGCCATCATTTGAGGGTGTCGGCAGACGACTGTTTGTCTTTCCGGAATATCTGTGTGTGAACTCCGATCACACGCTAATACCGGGACACATATGTTTGCGACGTAGGAAAAAGGAGGTAGCGAGGCCTATCTGTCCTCGATTGGTTGATGAGGAGGTCAAGTGTGAATTTAGAGAGGAGTTACCTAGACATTTATCCGAATGTGACAGCAATGCTCATGCTGAGGAAATCTGGTGTGATATTAAGTCTGTTGTAGAAACAGGGGCAAAGACAATTGGTAACCTACATCCGAAGGTTAGCAAACATCATTGAATTTCGACGACGTCATCCGAACTGATTGGTGCGAGAAGACTGATTCCAACTGGCTCTGATCACGATGAAGAGCGAAAGCGAATTTGGCATAAATTGGCCAACATACTTTCCAACTGTTTATTTTCTCTCACAACTTTTTCTGCTTAAATATAAGTCTTTTTCTATCCACCTATTCTACGTGTACTATTGTGAATTGTGGTAATGTAAGCTGATGCAGCTGTGTGCGAGGTTCCAAGTTGATTTTGTCTGTCTTTGAGAATTGTATGCTTGTTAGTTAGTCGCACTAACTATGAGGTGCACTGATCGTCGTCACTGTGACAATCAATAAGATCAACAATCAACAGATAACTGATTTCAGTCCAGTGCTCCCAGGTTTCCTTTGTTCCTCCAACTGATGTCAGTCTTCGATGAATAACAACTTGAAATATTTCCAAATCTCCACAACCCCCTCAAAATTTAATAGACGAATTAATTTAAAATTCACTGATATATTTTAATACACACTGTTGTTAGACATTAGGATAGATTAACACAACAATATTACTTAGTATAGGAATGAAATTTTGGTATTGAGACTATTCATAACACATATAGATGATAACTTTTTCCGTCGACAACTGATTATAGTACTCTTTAAGTTGAACATTGTAGCAACTTAAATTAATTTACCAGATAAAATTAATGTTAGATTGAAAAGTGCAAAACAAAAAATACATATTAATCCCTGAATTAAATTTGAAATAGATATTAGTCTTTATACGTAAAATTGTTATTGAAAATTTGATTGCTTTTTCCTCCAATCTTGGGAATAGTATTGTTTTACAAATTACTGTTCAACTAACATGACCTTAAACGTTAAACAATGCCAACCATTAAATCAAAGGAGTTAAAAGTAGATTTGATATTAAGGACAAATGTTTGAGCAAGAAATGAACTGTATATATGTTTGATGAACCAGTGAAGGGGTAATAACCTGCTTAAGTAAGCGTTATTTGGTCCGAACCCTGACTGAACATCATGAACTCCAATTCGAAAAGTATTAAAAAAAAGAGTCTAACTATTGCTGTAATTTTTTTATACGGTTCAAATTTTCAAAGACATCACTAATACTGACTTCTTAGTAATTCCAAAGGTAAGAGTTTAATATTTTGAACAGCAAACAACTGGTTTTAATACCTGTATCAAGACTGTGATCATCAAGTTTCTAGATGTGTTATTCTTCAAGATGGTATGGATAGTTCTTTAGGGTCTGCTATTATTTTCTAGTTTTCAGTTCGTAACGGCACCCTCAATCTCACACTAGCTAAAATAACGGCCTTATTAGTTTCAGGTCTGTAACTTGGTTAACAGAATCCAAGATACTATTGAGACTGTTTGCTGAAATAATTTTTTTCAATATTGAACTTAGGATGTTGTCGATCGGTTTCATTCAACCAGAAACGTTATTCCATAAATTTGGATTGTTGTTAATGAATTACCGAGATGAAGAGTCCTAACATGCCTCTGAAAGATCTAATGAGAAAATAAGAATTTCCAATTTATATATTAAAATATATTTAATGACGTAAAAACTAATTCAACTTGATAGTATCACGCTAAAACTGACACCAAAAGACTAAATGAACTGTCCTGAGCCCAAATGAAGTGCACTTAACAACTTTAAGCACATTCCTGCAGTGGACGATGAGCCACACCTATTGTGGTGTGAGGGCTACTGATACTATCTGGCTACCCAAACCTCGGTAGATGGAGGGAGGCTTCAACCAGTGACCCAGTGGTAGAAAATCATCTCCCTAAAACAAAGAGCCACAGCTTCAATGAACTGTTATAGGCTTTTGCAATCATGTGTTGCATGGAAAGTGGAATAGAAAATCGCAACTGGTATAGTAGTGTTCAAACAACACTGTATAATCTTTTTGAGTACTTGTCTTTTTTCTTCAGAAGCCTAATAAATACGTTGAATTCAGAATGTATTTTCATATGTACACTTAGTCAGTTAAATTTTGGTAGCAAAATAACTATGTAAACATGGTTGAATAACTTTCATCAGTTTTTCACTATCAACAGAATACAACGGGGGTGTTAAGTTAGTCTGAATCTTTCATAAATGTGAAAAAAACATCCAGAAGACAAGTATACTACAAGATGACGTTATTTTACAACCCTCCTGGTTTGTATTAAAAATAGAACTAGTTATATAATAATAATAAGTTCGACAATATCCTTGGGTAATAAAAAATGAAAGAACATATTAACCAATAATTACGAAGGATTACATGATCCAGGATAGATAAAAAGTCAGATCAATCGATTATTTGAGAGTTAGTCGCCAAAATAGAAGAGTTGTATGGCTGATAATGCCTTTATAACCAGCGGGTAAACTGTTCGATGACCTTAAGTGGATTCCGCATACATGCAAGACTAATGATCAACCATGTATAGCAAATCCTTTCACTATGAATTTCACTGAAATATATCTCGACAAAGTAGCAGCAAGGTAAGGGTACGGAGGAAGAAATATCTATGAAAAGGAGTATTTCAGTAATCAAACAAAAACCACAAGCAATATAGTTAAGTTCTAAACAAAGTCTTAACAACATACCGGTTTAATCTTTTTCAACATTTCAATTGAAAAACGCTCCATGCTTCGATGAATAGTGCCGAATTGAGTGAATGCCTCACTAGTACACGCCATAGGCTCTTTCACACCAATTTCCGAGAATGTATCTCCAAGTACTTGGGAAACAAAGCAAATACTGACGATTGAATATATGGAAAACATAAAAATGAAAGTAACCCTTATAATGAACAAGATGATTCATACAGTAGGTTGGAGGTTCCTCAGAGAGATACGACAATTAACGAAGCCCTATCAAGTATCGCCGTAAAAACACAGATACATAAAAGGAACGTCGTAGCTCAGTTGGTAAAGCATTGAGCTTGAAACCCGGTGGTTACTGGTTCGAATCCGACCCCGTCCAAATTTTCATTTCACCTTCAATCATCACCCAGTATAAATGACTAGTCTGCCAAACTACGGCTATCTCAGATACTCATGTGATAATAAAAGGAACGGTAGATGTTATTTCAGTCGGACTAAATGGTTTGAATGCTCAAATGGATCTACATTTACTGAATTTGGTCAAACCGAACAAACTGACGAACTGTATTTCTGGGAAAATTGATTTCTACGCGTTAAATCATGATATAAAATCTAGACTATAGTTAAACAATACAAAATGATTTTCGTTTGTGTTTATTAAACTGTAACACAATATTAGTACCTACTTCAATCCTGTAACGATGTTTTCTATGCATGATGTAAATCGGTTCGGTGCAATTATTCATGTACTATTACAATTACTGTGACAGCTTATGATACAATTCAGTTGGCCAGACCAACGAGATTTAAACTCGGGAGACATTGGTTAAAAGTTAGATACTCAAGCCAACGGGAATATCAAACACAGAGACAGAAGAAACAAATTGACCTCAAGTAATAACAATATCTGTATCTTTTGATTGCTGAGTTCGACAGAAAATTTACCTTAACCTTGATTGTAATTTATTTCAACATCCTTCAGTGCCATACAGACAGACAAAACCAATGCAGAATATTGTACACAAGCTCATTGGCTCAAGTTGCTACACTTCACAGCGTTGTAAAAAGACGAAGTGAGTAGGGGCGGGGTGATATTAAGATACAAAAAAGTGTATGGAAGGAGGAGTTTGGAAATCAAGGTTGGTGGAAACAGTCAAACTTCAGAAGACATTATATATATATATATATATATATATATATATATATATATATATATATATATATATATATATATGCAAGTGTGATCGATTTACAGCAACGTCACCAAGGGTCTCAAATTATTGATTCTTATTATCTCAAGGAACCCAACCAGATGGCCCACATCTCTCTACACGGTTCAGATCAACAATCGAAGACTTCATAGACTGGTATCACAGATTAATTTGACTGTACTTGGCCTTCCAACCCAATCCTAAGTGAGATAATTAACAACAGCAGCTGACAAAAAGACTGACCGATATTTTACCCAAAAAGAAAATCAAACAGGATTGCTACAGAAAGTCTCTCTCAAACTAAAGATAAACAGTGATGAAACAGGTGAGAAGTTTTTAGAAAATACATCAATCACTAACTACTGTCAAATTTTCGAAGAATCTAGCTACTTGTTATATCCAATCGGAAAATGGGGCCTTCACGTTTTAGGAGGCCTTAACTACTTTTGGATGAATAGTAGCAAATTGACTACGTTAGTTCATAGTTAAATCTTGTTTGCATTTTATGACAAGAGAAACATTCAAGCATTCTGAAAACTTGCTTGCATTTAATCACAATTTGCTGCGTAACTTATATCCAGAAGATTTTTCGATAATTTAAGAAGTCCTACGATGAAAAAATGAACGAAGGGTAAGATAGTGCGGATAGTCTCATGAATTATTATTTTGACGTATAATTTCAGTAACAAAGTCTCACAGATGATCATTAAGAAGAAATACCTAACTATCTTTACAGCACCAGTTAGGTCAACAGCACGAATACAAGCCTATAGAGCATGGTAACTTCTCATGACAAAACAATAGACTCTCCCTCTGACCTGTGTCCTATCGACTTTCTTCATACGCTCAAGCTCCAGTACGAACATAACAATCACAAAAGGAGAATCAATTTGAAAAATGAGACCAACACGTTTTTATCGCATAAATATGGCAACAATTGGTGAACAACTAACAAAATTAAATACAGATAAATTCGAAGTTGCATTTCAACCTCTATTTAGTAATTCAGGTCAAAGTAGACTGAGTGAATAGGAAATCACAGCTAAATGGCAGTTGGTAGATTTCCTACAGCGTACAGAGTTGCATGTCATTAGTTTAGACATTAGAGAGTCAACTAATGGGTTTCGTTCCCATTTCCCCTACCTGGACTTATGCAGATAGATAGAATCATTATCTTTTATCCAATTACATGTCATAACCAAGATTATGAACCTCATATAGTTGGTGAATTACGTGATGCACAGTTTGCAAATAAGAGGGTATGAAAATTATTTGACCATTTGAATCAAATGAGTGTATCTTTCTACCAGGGGGTAGTTGCTACAACGTGTAAAGCCTAAATGAAACTAAACATAACTGTCAAATATTAAGAAAAAAGCAATAATTGATTTTCCTTAAAACACCTTACCAGCATATACTCGAGAAAGTTCATAAATTGCACGCAACAAATTTTTGGCATGATTTACCATACCGGAAAATGCACTCGATGTTTTATTCAATTCTTCTAACTTTTTCACCATACTATCTAGAAATTATGATCATGAAACCGATAAGACGAAATAATTATACAACAAACCATTAACAAGTATAGCTCGACTCAAGCCTAAAGCATCCGCTGTACTAGATTCCATTGTTTCAACAACACGATGTTTAACTTTCTTCAAAACTATAAAATTTAATTATAGGTGCATTGTAGAAGGTGGAGATTACTCAAGTCTAACGTTTTTCCTTGCTTTGGATCTGCATGAAGTTTGTTGTAATTGATTATTACTTCATCCTACAATAAAAATAACGAGAAATAAGCAATAAAACAAACATTTCACAGCAGTTACAGATACATATTCTGAAATGTAGGATATACTTGAAAACTGAAATCAACTTCACGGTGTAAAAATAGACAAAAGTACGTGATAGAAATTGCTTCGCTCTGACTTTCAAAACCTAAGTATGGTATGAAATGAAGTGTACAGCAAGTAATTCACGAAACTAATTGACTGAAAGAATACAAAACATGGCGACATACTTCACTAGTCCTTGATGTCAATTTGACATAAAGTAACAGAAAAAAGTTAGTATAGGGTAGTTGGAAGTGAAACAGAAAACAGAGAAAAGGAAGATGAAACGGAAATATAAGTAGTACATTATGATGTTTGCCACCTGTAATAAGAAACAGAATAAATGCTAACGAAGGTGTATCTTAGTGACGTGGGTACCTGGGTTTCGATAGGTTGGTAACACATTCAAAATCTGCTCCTCTTAGGAAGTCCTAGACACTCAGGTAAGAACCGTTAGATATCCCGATCGGTGTAATTCATAGTCTAGTTCTTGAGCGCATCCGGTCTAAATTACACTATTTGAGCTCTCTAATCACTGGCTTCAACCATATCAGCAGTCTTCGACATGTCCGGGTCTTCCAATCATTGTCAACATAGGGCCCACAATCATTGCATAACGGTTCATACCTTATTTCAGCACACCAAAATACACTATGGTGAAATAGAAGATAAAGAAATACAAGTAAGACGAACAAAAACTGCAGGAAGATACAAAACGATAAAGCAGTAAAACTTAACCTGAGGACTGTGGTAGATTGTAATTCCATTTCAGCTTGTTTATTAGATGTCACCCACAGAAACAGTATTATTCACTGGATAACGTTTCGAACACAATTTATTGTCCATATTCATGTCATATTACTCCATGAATTTGAGACATGGTGTGTATAGGTGTTATTCTCTCTACACCTTTGTGATAACGGCGGCAGAATTTCCCATACATATGAAACAGATGCTGAATCATTTCTACTCCAAGTTTTTGGTACTGACTCGACAAACAAAGATTCAACTATCAATCTCTTCTTCTATCGAAACAAGTTAGTTTTTAATAATGTCACTCATTCTCACTCCATCGCGAGTATGTGCAATCTCACACACAGCTACAGTTGAACTTTGCTCTAGACCCTTCATTAAGATCTACAAATCTTATTTTAACTAAGTTTTTGTAATCGAGCAACCTAATCGACCCAGGTCGACCACTCTGACCCCGCAATAATTGCAAAGGCAAACCAGATTATCTTGCCCAATTGGGTCAAAAGCATCTTTTAACTGACAGTGCTTTCTTCCAATTATGTGGAGATGTGGCTCATTGGTATAAGTTGATGACTCTCAAAGCCACTTCAACTACCGAAGTTTCGGCAGCCATTAACCCTAACACAACAGGTGTGGCTAATTGCCTAATTCACGAATGTGCACAAGGTTTCTGAGTGTTTCAGTTTTGCATGGTTGAGTGCCACCCTCGTCTCAGTCTTGATGAGAATTTTTCATAACGCTCCCAAGGTGCTTTTTTGTACAGCAACAAGTTGGAGGCTTTGAATTTTCTCTCTAAGTCGTCATCATTGTCATTGTTCTTACTAGCATTTGGGTTTTTTCCAGGGTTTAGCATAGACAGCGTTCATTAACATCAATTTTTGCTACCCTGTAACCATTGCAGTTTGCGGAGGTTTCAGGTATTTCATTACTTTTACCTTCGTTGTATCGTTCATATGCAGCGTGAATGTCATGTCAGCACTGAGGAGGTCGGGTGTAGAGTATAAAATAAAGGAAGTCAGTTGCTGAGATTTTGAGTCTTTACAAACCCATTCCATTTCATGAAAGATGAATAACTAGAACATGTTCAACTGATCATAAATACTTAATTTTTATTCAAAATAGTGCTAAACATTGATGAAATAGATGATGAAAAACGGACACCACGAGATGTGCTATGCAGAATGATATAGCAGCACTAATAAAATATGACGTGACACAGAGAGGAATATAGGACTGAAACAAAAAAGGATATTGGTTACTACAGAAACAGTTTCAAAGATACATTTAAGCAAATACTCTCTATTTGGGTTTTTCTGCTCAGCTGGAGAAATGAGAGAGCTGCCACATAGTTTCGATTACGAACTATGTCTGTTGCCGTTTCAAGTCACACAGTTGTGTGGTCTTTCGGACCACATTCGGGGAGTCGTGAGGCACCAACAGATGACAACCAAACACAACTATTCTCCACATCACCGTGGCACATCAAACACTGATAGCCGTTCCATTTCTTCCAACCAGTCACAGGGCAAGAGAACAATGAGTGGTATGGGAGTTGGGTTGTACACCTAAAACAAAATTAGCAATATTGTGCACATTTGCGCAGTAAGCAATCAGTCACACCTTTTGTGTGAAGGACAATGATATCACCTGCCTATCCAAACCTTGGTAGGGGGAGTGGGTTAGAACCCATGACCCACTTGGTTGAAAATCAATCACTTAAAGTAATAAGCCATAGCTATACGTTACTGATGCGTTGGCACCTTAATACATCCTATGGTACGATGGCAACGGCTTTTGAACATCTGAAGACTTCTATTCGTCTTCTACATTAATGGTCGTGTTTGACAGCCATAAAGTGGAACAGAGAGAACTACAGCTTGGTAAACTCGACTCTTAAGAGTCGATCGGATATCATACTAGTCACACAAATAGCACGATTCATCAAAAAACTCAAAAGCAATCTTAATATCGAGAAATTCAATGGTCGTTAATCTGTAACATGTGTGACGTCATCCGAGGGTCTGATGGAGTGGCGAAGAGAACAATGACCGAAGCGTTTACGACTACAGATAAATCCCGTGTGCTCCTTGTGGATCAGTTTCTCACGCATTTTGCACAGTAGTCGCTACAGGCAGCAGACTGATACTCAATTATCATCACTCACCCACAGTACACAAACTCTTCCTGAAGATGAGTACAACAATGAATTTACCCCAAAGTGATGAAACTTTCCGTTTGCTATACTTTCTCAAACAATGTAGTGAGTTCCCTGAATACAGTCTCGAATCCATCCTTAAAAAGAACATACAGTAGGTTTTCCGGGTCGGATACTTTATGGTGTTTCAGAAATCGAAGTTCCTTACAGATCACTTCCTTCTCAAGTGAGTCTGCATTAAACGACCACGGAGCACAAAACACTTAGGCCGGTATCGCTGGAGCAGTAAGGCAGCCGAACAACTTGCGAGGTGCTCTGCCAACGTTCTAGACGTCTATAAAAGTTGGTGATTGGCATGCTACCTACTTTGTAGACCAACTCACTGATACTAGACTTCTTGCTAACAGTCACTCGGATGAGATAAAACAACTTCCGACCGTTGCTAGATACAGCCGTTGTTTCCATTTCATTTGCACGCTCTGACTATCAACCTTCATGGTCCTCACACAAATACTGCTTGATTTATCGCGTACGAAACTTGCGCACGCTATTGTATTCCCTGTCTCCCCGAGTACACAGGCGAGTGTCAAGATGTTTCAAGGGGCTTGCAAAAACGCAGTTTTTGGTGGTAGAAAGTTATTTATAGCCCAAGACAGCTTCACTGATCGTATTTATGGTATAAGTGCAGCCAATGCCCATTAGTACTTCCAAAGGTTCGACAGATAGCCTTTAATCTACCTGTGTTTGACATTTAATTGCAATGCTGGATGAAACCAGTTTGCTTACGTCGAAACACTTAGAATGATGATTTTGATGACCAACAAAGCGCAGTAAGACGTATATCATAATATGACCTGCAACCAACTGATTCCCGTTAGCTAGCTAAACGCCCCTTCTCTGAGCATCGGTGCCCGACCTTTCCATTCAAACCCATAGCTAGAAATATGGTATGTGTGAAGCGGGCCTGCACCTGGTCGTTCAACTAAAGGGCTGCGTTCAGCCAGAGCATAAGCAGAGACGATGAAAACGTATCGTTTCCATAGCTAGTTACTGCACACTCAAATCGAACCTTCCATTAAGTCGACTGGTGCAGTTTTGGTTATGGTAATTGGCGCAGTACCAACATGAGCAAGGTTGGATATCGACGTCACTAGGTGTCCAGATAAGTGTGGAGTATACACTTTCTAACTGACATGCAGTTTCCTCTGATTGGGATTTCGCTTGTGGGTCTGCGAGATACACCACACATCAGTAGAGAGGATTTTCAGAGTCCTGATCAAACCTGTCTGTTGTTCGATCTATATCAAGTTACAAACTTTGACGGTAACCAACTTAGTGCGAGGTATGAGAACAGTTCCAGCATACAACGCACTACAGTTTTGTGGAAGCAACTCTTTATCGACTTGAGATGGTGCAGACAGGTCAGAATTTTAATGTGAAAAGCAGCTGAGTGAAACAAGAATGCAAATAAAGACAAATTAGAAAACAATAGCAAAAAGTATTACGGTTTCTATGCACAAGTAACAATTATGAAATAAAATAATTCAGTTTGGTTTTCGTAATACATGTTTAAGAGTTTGCAGGAAAGTTCGGTCAGTGCATAAGTCTCCTGTATCAGTGTAATCTCATCATTTGTGTGTAGGCTGTGATACTATCCGAACACCCAGACCGAAGCAGATAGCTGCATTAATGGACCACTTTCCAAGTCTGACATACAATTGGATCCACAAGGTAGAAGAAGGAAGCAATATGTTGCTTCTCATGGTTGCTGAAGGATGTGTGCACAACTTGCTTGAAATCAAGGTTTACTAGCTTCCTGACAGATAGCTGATGTCCTGACGCGGTGGTCCAACTTGCACACAACATTGAACACAGGAGCTATCCTGGTAGGAATATTCATTCCTTAATGTCCTAACATATCCTAAAGGTCTGTTGGATATAGTATGACAAAAGGCAGTCACTGTGGTAGTAAAAATTGCTATGTTATGATGGCGACCTGAGAGAGACGTCGTACTCCTGACTGGACACTGTGACAGCAGCAAGGCGTTCTGCGTGGATGACCAGTAATGGTGTTGATGCTAATTTCCCTATGGGAAACAGAGTTAAAAACGCAGCGGTTGCAAAAGGAGAACTCGTCTGCCAACCGGTATTCCGGTGCAGGTAGTGTGAGTCTTCTATCTGCATTTAATTCAGTCAGTCACATGGTGCTGTAAAGTGTGATAACTTAGACTTGTATACCTCTGTGACAGGCTCTACGTTGATTCGTCTGTCTGATATCAATGGTTGGTCTGGTAAATTTACTGTTACACTGCCTTTTTATGGAAATGAACCCCCGGGACCTAAATGGTATATATCTTAAGCGCATATAACAATGGAAACAATCGAAAAGGTGTCACTAACCCATCTGAAGTTGATATTTCCTAGCCTTTAATACGAATAGTGACTAAACTATTGGTTGTGATTTGCAGTCACGTAGTTAACAGTGGGGATATCGTCAAAGAAATAAGACGGATATAAGATTAACAGTAACTTTCTTTCTATAGACATCTCCGGATTGGAATATCAACTCCTAATCTTAGACTTGGCTAAAACAGTCTCGGAACAGCTTACAATAAACGATCACTGACGTGATTTTGTAGTTCAACTAACTGTTACACAATATGTGGCTCTTAGTCCCTATCTGCCGCTTATAAATAGATTTCTTTACGTCTATTCTACGAACGTATGGCAGTAACTAAATAGAACTAAGTGTACTAACTCAAGGGATAATGACTAAAAATCCAACACGATATGGATTTCCGCACTTCTTAGTCATCTGAACGTCATTCTTGAATGTCTTTATGAAATCCTATGCCCTGATACGACCTTCAAGGCGTTTCTGAAGTCCAGGCACTTGAAAATTACTCTGATATGAAAACCGTACCCCTAGCTGGAAAGTAAAACAAGTTAGAAATGTAATCGATTTTGTATCTAAAGTGTCATGATGAAATGATCGATGTAGTAAATTAAAATAAGTAAAATCAGTACTCACTTTAAAACTCTGGATAAGTCGTGCAGCTTCCACTTTGGTTTTGCCTTTGACAGATATCCCATTAACGCCAGTGATCTCGTCACCAGCTTGAAGACTACCATCTTCTGAGGCTGGAGTTGAGTCGAATATTTGGACAACGTAAAGACATGGGCAGTATGGAGCCCCGCCTCCAATGCTGATTCCTACTAAGTTTTGTGCGTCCTTTTTTAGTTTTACACAACCGCTTGTTACCGTCATCCCACTAGGAAGTTGAGACGAAATTCGCTAAGCATTAGTGTACCACTAATTAACAATTGTGACATAGTAACAAAAGTAATTTCTGAGCCAGCCTCACACTATACAAGCATTCAGTGGATACGAGAAACTGGATGTGTGCGATAACAATCAGTAGAAAATTAAGCCATTCTTAAAATATATTGGTGAACGATGACTTTATACCAATTGAAATAGATCCGTGTTTGAATATAATCCCGAGCAGCTGCATCTCTACATCGGACTTATTATCTATTTGTCTGCATACCGTTTCTACTTGATTTTTTCTTTAAACCAAGGAAAAGTCGTCGGAACTACCTTCCATCAAGCGTACAGAGTACTAAGCATTAGGTCAGTACTGCTCTAATGCTTTTTTGTTACCTGCTAGTTCTTTTAATATCCCATTTTGTATGATTTTCTATCAGATGACGCTTAGTTTAAACTTGGTTAGCCACCCTGTTTTCAGCTTCTCAACGAAAACGTTACTAGGATTTCGGCCAGGGTATGACGCGAATATCTCAGTAAGAAAAATAACACTCGGAGAATTCAGACCAATAGTCTGCATAACATAGTTTAGTTGGGTTGAGGCAACACTTGTTATTTTATTTAACAGTCTTTGCAGGCTGCCATTAAAAAGAGGCCGTTTCGGAGACCGTATTGCAGAAGCCAAAAAGTCAGTTTATGATGGTCTTTTATCATTTATATCATATATGAACATTTGGAAACACTTACCAATGGTGCTATAATGTTTCTCCCTAGGCAAAAGTTTACTCAAGGTCGGTTCTTAATAGGCAGAAAGGTTGTAGAACTTTAGCATTGGCACTGTAAGACAAGAAGTATTACAACAGGAACGACTGAATTTTTTCTCAAATAAAAGCAATGGCCATCCAATATGGCTTCAAACGTATGAACCAGTAAAATGAGTTTCACTTCGTGATACAATGTCAGTCACTTATAACAGGTTATATATATACATATATAAAGACTACCAGGAACCGACCTGACACGTTGACGTCACTTTCAAGAGAACCGTAAGACATGTTAAGATGTGAAACTAATTAATTCTATAAACGAAGCTTTACTGTTACATTTAAGGTGAAAATACTTGTGAGCAAAACACACACAATATTTAGGGAAAGTGAAGAGGTAGATATTCATCTTGTGAACTTAACAGTAGGCTTCAGTTTATAAAAGCCACCCATAGTTTAGTTCCAAAATGTTTGACGTCTCAAAACAGAATATAAACGGAAGTTTTATAAATCTGGTAACTGGGTGTTTTCACGGAGTGGGTCTTCACCCAAGTTTTCTAACCTTTAATTTCATGATTATGTCACTAGTCACACCCATTTGGGACCATGACGGACTCATCAATCAAAATGAAGTAAAGACTTAATTGACGACTAACAATAAGAGTCTACTTCATTCTTAGAACCCACTCACAGCTTGTTTTCTTCGTAACCTTGATTGTAGAAATCCATCTCAAGGTGGCACTGAAGTAAAGTACGCGCTGTATGAAAGCTTGGTTTCAATATCATCTAGACCCCACGATGACCTTCAGATTTTAGATTTGTGGTATAAGGAAAAGAAGATTACGAACCAATATGAGTCTTTTACCAAGTCTCTATATTCACCAAGTTCTTTTCCTGAATGAATAAAAGAAGACATGGGCAGTAAATCCTTCCGGAAGTCGGTTACAATGGTTGATTACGCGATACGAAACCCAGTGCTCCTAAGGCGTAACCTTTGTCCTTGGCTTTTTCTAATTTCCCTACACGTCCCGTAAGATTGTCTGGACTTCTGGAAAGGGAAAGAAGAAGTAGGTTAGATCCAAAGTTATTTCTCAAAGTTCTGTCTGTCGTGAACTAGTCAGCCTTTTTCTGCTTTTCGTAATGAGAAAGGATTCAGTAAATAGGCCTATTCCTGGTAATTCAGGACATCTATTGCACCGGCAATATGAAGAGTCTTCAAGGAAACACGGGAGGTCCAGCCCATCTTCCAGACAATAGCCTGTTACATGAACATGACCCATGACTTGGGATCTAAGTCTATATTTAGGGTGGTAGACACGTCGCTACTGGTCCTAATTAAGGGTCTGTGTATTTGCCAGCAACTTGAGAGCCAAAGCTCTGAGTGGATAACGATGTACAGTAGCTGTCGAATCTTGACTTGTTATAACTCCCAGGTTGTTGTGCGCCGGTACTGAGGGGAAAGGATTCTCATGAATGTCATAAGTGATGCCAGCTGCACCAGTCATATTCACGACCAGGTACCAAACTGCACTGCTGGGTAGTTCAGCAGACTGTTGAGATTCGTCTGAAGCGTCCCCAAATCACAATTATTGCTTAATTCTCGTCAGGTTTTCACGTTATCAGTATACAAAATAATTGTAGAATTTATTATGCCACGTAATTTATTACCACATTTAAGAAGTCTCAGAGCAACTAGGAGTTCACCTCTGGTTAATCCACTTCACACCAACTCCCAGAAACAGAGCTTGAGGCACACTAAGACGTTCTGTCTCCTGTCAGCACGAAACTCTAATTCATGCAAGTCGACTGTCAGTAATTACTGAACCCAGATCCATGGACTGTGTATGGTAAATGACCTAATTGGGTGCCTTATTAAAGTTTATGAACGTGACACCTACGGGGACTGTCATCTTCAGACCTTACCCCACTTAATCCTACCTTGATAGGATACATGAGAAAATTACGTGAGAACCATGCGGCAAACCCTTTGGTTGACCGTCACCTCCTAGGTGAGCCATAACAACTCTCCGTCTTACTCTTTAAGAGGTTTTAGCCTATCGGGTTATAATTTAGTAGATGATGGCTAACTCCCTCCCGATGGACGGGCCTGACCACAGCATCTTTCTAGCCGTACGGGATTGTGCCCTTAATAGGGGGCCTTCTAAATGTGGTGAACAGGTCGACTATGTGCGGTGCAGGCCCGCAGAGTAGCCTTTGGTAGAGTTAACCCCTACTCGCTGGTCTTCCCATATCCCGAGTACCCACGGTTCTAAATATATTTCGACCGATATCCGCAGTTTACCTCGTTTCCGATTCTTGCTTCCAGAGTTGCTTTCACTTAGAAGTTTCGAGCACAAACCACTACCAAACATCCTCTCACAGCCCTAACTTTGCTCAAAGCATCCTCAGTCAACCAGATTGTTCGCCGTAAAGACATAATGGTGCCTCTTGTTTCTGTTATTCGCGAGAAGGAAAAGCATCTTAGGGTGTCCCGCGATAACCCAAAAGATGAATTTCAAGGTGTTTTTCAGACCAGCGGCTTATTGAGAAAAAGTGGTTCCGTTCTAGACTGTACTACTTCTTCGCTTCAGGAGTACCAAGGTTAATGAAACGATGAAGTTTGCTTTTCGTTGTATTCAGAAGCAAAATGCAATCAGCAGCCACGTACACACTGTACAGTTGGCAGCGAGGCACACCCAGTGTGTGAAGTTAAATGATTTCAATTGGTTTCGCCAACGTCTACAAGCAAGCAGAGCTTTAAGCTGTGACCCACCAATTGAAAGTCAGCCATCTTAACCAATGAGTCGCGCCTCACCTCATGATCTACCTACAAAGGGCAGCGTTTTTGGTCTCAACTCATGACCATTTGGCCCCGATGACCGAATTCCTCACCTTCGGTCGACGCAGCTACATCTAAGAGAGTGGATCAGAATCAAATGATCGACAGCACAGTATAAAGAGCTGTTTCATCATTCTTCCGTCCCTTATTGAAGATGTGAGTGGCTTCATAATGAACTACCCACGGAGAAAACCACTTGGGGTTTTGACTATAGTATTGCTCCGTGAAATTATCGGCCAGTCAGTGGTGTGGTAGCACGGTGAGTGAATAAAATATCTCTCAGATAGCATTCGATCAGGTGTTGAATATGATTCCAGTATTTTCTGCCTTTGTGATTAATCTTCTAGAGACCATGTGACCGAAGTTTATCATAGTCTTCTGCAACCATATTTGCCTGATTTATGTTATGGTTAGGGCTGTTAACTTTATTGGCATATCCATTGTTATTGCCATCCTCAATACTTCTTTTAACGTCACTTAGAATGTGACAAGGATGAAGGTGAATGGGCTCATTTTGAAGGGGAAATTTATGCGACAGATTGAGCTGGAAAAACGAGAGTTTGATATTCTTAGGAGCAGTCAACCTCTTCTATCAATGTTGCCGCTTTTCGTGTGGAGTATGGAACCCACAGTCTTGAGGAGTGTACACCATAGTTTAAATGAATTGTTAACTGCTGTGAAATCCTGACAGGTCTTCCAAATATACTTAAACCTGCACTCGTTGCTTGCATGTGATAACGTATTTAGTCGGCAAATTCGCCCCACAGAAATATCCCATTTTTGTATTCGATATGTGGAATTTTTCCGCCACATTTTGGCGTGATACCTGAGAAGGTGAAGCAAGAAAAACCCCCTCATCATCATAATGGTACCACTCAGTTCCCTAAATCACTGCTGTGAGCTTCCACAGGCTCTAACGTGCATTTTGGGTGGAAGCCATCTACAAAACTCAGTTTTTCTGCCAGATTGAGCGAGTAGAAGAGGTGAGTAGTTTTCTAGAAATGTATATCTACATATAAATAGCGAATAAACATTTTACCATCATATTAGTGATTTAACATGGGAGGAGCCAGCCTACAAGCATCATCCTATTGATATATGTTGAGAAATCTACAAGATTTTACGAGACCTGAATGGTGAAGAAGAGAGGCCATTAAATTCTATTGAAAACATCAGAAGATTTCACAAGCTATGAAATGAACAAGAAAATTTTATTTTTCAGCATATGGGGGGCGTCAAAGTTCGGATTGTTTTCATTCATTCATTGGTGGCAGCAAGGTCGCACAAGATTCTGAATTTCCATTGCAGGCGGTTGATATGTTTGATTCGTCTTTTTTATGTATATATATATGCCGGCAGAATAACTTCGGACAAACAGCCCCTAGATAGAACAGGACATTTGATTCATCCAGCGTATGAGCACCCCTTATCAAGAGTTTATCGAAAACTGGATGTAAAACGGAAAGTGGTATTATTCAGTATCATGACTGAAACTCAAGAGGATCTTCAAGATAGGACCAGTCTTAGTGATGAATGTCAAAGACATGGAAGCTCCGGGAGTTGAAGGAAACCAGTTTCACTGTAGATCAGCAGCAGGCGAAAAATAGTAGATGCGGGGTGTTCGGGAGTGTATACAGGCGAAGTGCTACAGCCTATGAGTAGCGGCGAATTTCATTGTTTCCAAATACAGTCCCACCTAAAGAGTTGTTATTTGGAGGAGCTTCATTCTGATACCGTTTAAGTGGTCGAGCCGTCATATGAACTATTCTCATATATCTTCACTCAAAGCAGCCACCCGACGAGCTAATAGGTAAAGCGGAAAGACCACTACGGTGATCAGAGTTATACTACAATGAACCATCAACAATCGGAGGTTATTGGCTGTCCTACCACAACTACATTTGATTGATGGTCGCCAACTTTTAACAACAAGAAGCTTGTCCGATTTGGTAAAGAACAGTGTCACTCCTATGTGAGAGACGGGTTCACCACATTAAAATCAGCCGGCGATACTGACCTTGTGAGTCCACGTGACCGATTCAGTACTGCTATTGCCCACTTTTCGGTGGCATTTACCCGTCTCTCAGTTCGGCCTTTATTGACAAGACAGATTTGATGAGGCGCAAGATGTTTCAGCTCGATGGCCCAAAAGCATCCTTAAATATCTTCACCTCCAGTGCTTAGTAATCTTATCTGGCGAAAGGTGGTACATTGCAGAGAGATGGTGCAAGGTGTGATAGTTAAGCCTGAATTGATTTTACAATGCTGTTTTCCAGAGGGAAAGAAATCAAAAAGATAAAATGCACGAATCTGATGATAATAACGCATGGACTTGTTTGGAAACATGAACGAAAAAAGAGGACGGATGATACGTTTAAAGAATATATTTCGATTAATGAATTATACGGACACATGCAACTTTTACAGGTAATATAATAATGATATATTTCATACAACATAAATTACATGAAAACAAACCAGTTTACAGGTCTGATCATTTTGGCGATGTGAACTGACTGTTATGTGCAATATAAATAATTTTTACTCTTACATTAATAGGTTAACATAAGAGAAGCCAGTTTACAGGCATCATTACATTGATATGTGTCGAAAAGTCTACAAGATTTTACTGGTCCTGAATAGTACAGAGGGCAGGTCGTTTAACTCCATCAAAAACATCCGATCGCGGTTACGGGACAAAGAAAATACCACTTTCAGCATACGCAGCGCGTCAAAATGATGATTTTGAAAATTTACAGAATAGTGCCGGGAGTTATATAATTCATGTAGCAAGTTATTGAGATGCATAAACTTATTAAAACTTGCTGAAAATCAGGAGACGGGTATGGGTTCCCATCTGCCATTACACAGATAGGTTCCACTACCAACGACAAAAGCGCGCAATGTTCGAAGTTTACGTTTTAA